ACACACACACACACACACACACACACACACACACACACACACACACACACACACATATATATATCTATATATATAAATTCTTATATTTGTTTATAAATTAATATATAAAATTTATACTCAAATGATAAAATCTTTACATTATTCGTGGCTGTTAATACAATATAATTTTTCATTCATAAATTTTATTTTATATATGATTTAAAGTGTCACATCCTCTATAGTATAAAGTTGCACAAAAGTTGCAGCAACTTCTGCAACATTGCAGAGATTTTGCAGCGATATTGCTGTAAATTCTGTGCCGGATGTATATCAAAAGTGATTTCTCGAAATAATTTCGAATTAAGTATATTAAAATGAGAAGGACTAATAGAGAGTCTTATACAAAATAACTTATGCTTAAACAACTTTCTATAAAAATATTATACAGGATAAATAAAAAAACGAATAGAAGAATATTTAGATTAATATGAATTAATGAGAACAAGAATTAAGTTTTATAAGAAGATTATTATTATATGAGTAACACATTCACTAAGTTAGACATATTCACTAAAGAGAACTGTTAAAAAAAAAGGTCGAAACGTTTGAAAGTTGTTTATTATTTATTTATAAGTTTATTATTTATTTCAATAAAGTTTTATTATAGCATAAGTTATCTTGCTAGGCTCTAATAGCCTTTCTTGTATTAATATAATTGAATCGAATCTTACAATATATTTATTTAATTATTTAATTTCGAATTGATATCGAAATAATGAAATATCGATGTTCTAATAGAAAAGTTTAATTACAACAGAAAATTTTAATTTATTAAGAGACTAGAAGAGTTTTAATTCTTTCTATTATTATATTATATATTATATATTATTGCTATATTATATATTACTATATTATACTTTATCTAATATTATATTATTAAATGCTCTTTACTTATTATTATTATTAAATACAATTATTATTATTGAATTATGAAAAAGTTGTTTTTTTTTATAGAATATACAATTTTTTATAGAATATATAATTATCATTATAGTATACGAAGGCATTGAGACTAAGTTAAATCGGAAATTCTATTTATTAGTCTTACTAAAATACTTTTCTTGTTGAGTCCTTTTAGTTCAATTAGTACATTTTTTCCAATATATATATATATAATTTTTTAAATATGTGTAATATAATTTGTATATATGTTGTATATATTCCTACATCTCATAGAATCTAATTATTTTGCAAACTCCACTTCGTGATGATCGTTATGAAGCGAAAAGGATAACCTGTGCCTTCATGTTCATTTCACAAATATCGGGTTTCTTGGTTCTCATAGGGCCTTTAATGACTCAAAACGAAAGACAGTTACCGATGAAAATGTACGTACCGTATTCTATGATGGAGTTATTTCCTTACCTGTTAACTTATCTTGAGCAAGTTGCAGTTGTATTTTACGGAGTATCACTAAATGTCGCTTTTGATTCTCTCGTTTACGGTTTCATTATTCATACTTGCGGGCAGATTGAGTTGTTATGCTATCGATTGTCGGAAACATTCCGATTTCTACAGGAGAACAATAAAGAAAAGGAGCACGATGTCATTGAAAAATTTGCCATTGCGGAATGCGTGAGACATCATGTTTCGGTGTGCAATATCATGCACAGAATACAATCGTTATTTATGTGGATTATCACCATTTTGTTCTTCTTCAGCCTTATCACTCTTTGCAGCAGCGTCTATCAGATGTCTAATGTATAATAATTAGTTTAAAACATATATAGAGTAGATATCAGCTAAGCGTAGATAATGTTCAATCGATGTCTTTATATTACAGAAAAATTTCTTCAGCGTTGAATTTTTCGTTTTTTTAGTATACTTAGGAGCAATGTTGTTTCAAGTATTCTCATATTGTTGGTATGGCAACGAGCTTGATTTAAAAGTATTGGTGAAAATAAACTTTTAGATTATTTTACTTTTAATTAATATTTTTAATCCATTTGTTAAGTTAAATTTTTTTTTCAGAATAAAAGTATCGCACATGCTATTTATGCTAGTGACTGGACAGTAATATCGGCAAAGCAACGCAAAAGTTTATCATTTATGATGATGATAAGCCAGGGTGGCAGAATACTTTCTTTTTATGGAATCTGCTCGTTAGTTCTTAGTACTTTCACATGGGTAAGCATATTAAATATGTATATACATAATTACGACTCTTAAAATATACTACACTAAGAAAAATGTTCTGATTATATTAACAATTAAATGAGTTTAATAGGAAGACATTTTGATGAGACAAAATCAAATTTTTGCTTATTATAACCAGAAATTCTGTTTAATCACTAAAAAACCATTCTTAGGTCCTTTGTTAATTCGATCAGAACATTTTTTTCAATATATATATATATAATTTCTTAAATACGTGATGTATAATATAAAATTGTATGTTGTATACAAACAGTTTAAATTTTTCTTCTTTGTTTCTGTACAGATTTTAAAAACATCCTATTCTTCTTTCAACTTGCTGCAGCAAGCTACGATTTAATATCTTCGTATCTATTCTTTAATAACTGTACTTATCATTCTAATCAAATTAACATAAAACTTATTTTCGTATCTACTATACGTGTATCTCTAGAATTTTATAGATATTTTTATATCTAACAAAGGAAAATTCATCTTAAATAAATTATTTTTCAATCTTTTCTCTATGTATTTTATAATAAAAATAAAATTCTTATGATAAAAATAAAACTTCTTGTTAATTATTTTTTTGCGGAATAATTCAAAACAATGTACGAATCCAAAAACATACTTGCAGTTTATTTTGTGCGCTTCTGCAAATTCACGATTTATTATATTCTCTTTACAAAATTTTTAGTTAGTTTTTCTGATAGACAAGCGATGCAAAAGAACTTCTTTCATGCACATCAATAGTAATAATACTTTAATATCCCTCACTCTCAGTATCCCTTTGTATATTCGATACTGCATACGCTACATAAGTTTATAATTTAAAAAATAATGACCAGTTATGTTATCGCAGACGTCTCATGATTATATGAAAATGAATACAGAGACGAAAAGAAAACGTAGCGAAGAAAGAAAATCAGCTAATTCTGTTGGTCATTAAATGTTAAAGAATGTTTAGAACATTTCGAACGCTTATAGAACGTTCCAGCGATATTATTATTAATTTACGAGAACGGACGTTGACAATGTATGGAAAGTCTCGTTATATTTTTCTCTACAAACTTAATATTTTCAAAGCATAGTAAGGCACAACAAAAGGGAGACTATCTATAGTGATCGTTCCGGAATTATGGATATATTGCCATTAAATTTCCGAGTTCTCTGGTTCTGTGGTGCATGGAGTGAAAAGAAAGATAATAATGGTCTTTTTATTCGTTTTTTAAGTTTCTGCTACAGGTACAATATACAATAATACTTTTTCTACATCTTGTTCCTATTATGAATATATAATAATATGAATATATAATAAATTTATATTATATTTTATATCTGTGTTTGCATCATGCTACAACTAATTTTTCTTTTTTCTTCTCTTTTCTTGAAAAATTAATTTGTTAATGTGATTTTTTAAATCATGTATCAGTGACTACATATATAGCTTTATTGTTGAGTATGAAAAAGAACTAATTTAATTACATAATCAGATTGTACATAGAAAATCCGTTTCCATTTAATTTTTGTTTATTTATTTATTAAATTTGTTGTTAATTTAGGTTCCGTCAATTTATTTTTTAACCTTCTAAGATTTTAACTAAATTTTGTTTTAATTAAAGAAGTATTTCACGATCAGACATTATTAGATATTTCTACTTAAGATGCAGCTAAAATTGTTAAGATTTTAAAACATACTAAAATTTTGATAGGTATGCCATTGTTATTTTAATATATGAATTTACGATATCAGAAGTAATTGAACTTATAAGAACGCATGATGATATCGAAGATATAACTGAAGGACTTTTCTTAGCGTTAACTTATGTAGCTTTATGCTTTAAATATGGGAATTTCTTAGTTCGACAAAACGAAGTATCCATATTGTTAGACTGTTTTCGAAGAGAAACATGTCAGCCAAGGAATTCCGAAGAAAGGATGATCCTTATTAAGTACGATCGCAAAGGTATTTAGCCAGTAGTTCTCGTTCTAATGAAATTATTGCGAATAATGAATTTCAATATTCCTTTAAAGTTAAAGTTATTTATAATATATTTTACTATAGTAATGCAATTATATTAAGATTTGAATAATAACAAACGTCGATAAATCTTTATAAAAAAATATACCAAAGTTAATTAAATTTAAAATGAATATTGTTTAATATTATATCAGTTTAATATTATCAGTTTAATATTATATCAGAATGTAACTTTTATTTTTACTCTTACTAACTTTATATTTGATACTCTCATCTCTTTCATTCTATGATATACTTTTAGTCTGAAAATATATATATAAAAACTTGAAAATATATGTTTTTAATATTTATGTTTTCCTCAGCTAAATGGTGTGTCAGGACTTTCATGAGTATATCTCAAGCAACTTGTATAGCTCTTATACTCGCTCCCATCGTTGGACCCCAAAATACTGACAGACCTTTGCCGTTTAAGACATATCTACCGTACTCGATATCTGGTTTATATCCATATTTGGCGACTTACCTTCAACACGTAGGCGCAATATTTTATGGGGTACTACTCAATGTCTCGTTCGACTCCCTCGTCTACGGTTTCACCCTTCACGTCTGTGGACAAATCGAGCTGCTGTGTTATCGTCTGTCCAAGATTTACAAGGATCACCCGAAGCAGTATCAAATCGATACGGACAAAGGCACGATGATCAGCGAGTGCGTGAGACATCAGTTATACGTACATGAGATCGTGCGCAGGATACAGTCGTTGTTTGTGTGGACTGTGACGATTTTATTCATTTTCAGCATGGTGACTCTGTGCACCAGTATTTTTCAAATGTCCAAGGTCGCGTAAACTGAAACAATGATCCTTACGATTAATTCCTTACAATTCAATCGGTGCCGCTGAAATTTTTCTAATATTATTTTAATATTTTTTTATACAGCAGATAAAAAAATCGTCGATAAAAAAGTGTCACTACTAAATTAAATATCTAATTTACAATGCGTATAGCGGTATTTCACAAACATACTGAATTTACTTGTAATTTTACTTGCAGAAGAGTCTTCTCAGCGTTGGATTTTTGTCATTGACATTGTACCTCGGCTGTATGCTGTTTCAAGTATTCTTTTATTGCTGGTACGGAAACGAGCTGCAATTAAAGGTAATTATAAATGACAAGTAATA